CAAAGCGCGAGGAGCCTAAAAGGGAAAGGGCGGGTCGCTAAATTAGACGCCCGTACGCGAGTTTGAATAACACGTGGTCCTGCCACGGACGATGAGTTCGGTGGTCAAAGCGAGTCTTGCATGCAGCCCGCCATGTCCACATCCGCAGAGGCGGGGCCCTCCACTCGCCCACCGTCCACTGAGAACGTTTCCAGCGCTCCCCCTCTTCTGTACTTTGACGGAAACCTGCGATTCCTCACAGACTGCTACATACCCTATTTCATAGAGCGGTGCGCACCTTCACGTCTTTGCTCTGATCCGCGCCGTGTCCTGATCGCAGCGCCTTGGTTCTGCAGGAGAAAGATCGAAGAAGCTTAGTGAGCACTAGCCTTTTGTGGTTGCACGACCTGTGCTGACCTGTGCACGCAGTGTCGAGTCTCTGCGCAAGCTGCACAAACGACTCAAGACCACCGACACGTACCTGGACAACCGCTATGACCCAAGCTTGTCCGGGAATACAACACGCCATGCATGGGCCGAAATCCGGGAAAATCTCGACCGAGGTACGTTGGTGACCGTCTTCGTTCGGGTGAGGAGCCTCAAGGAGGATGCCAGAGTGCGATACGCGACAAGCCCTTATTGCGAGCTGGTCGCAGGACGTGATCGGGCCTTTGATCGCCCTGAAGGTGCGCCGCTGCCTCAGTAGAAATTCTTGGTGCACTGGATTAACATATAAATACCGCTCAGGAAACCCAGGAGCGCATCAGAAAGCGAATTCGCGAGGACCTCAAGGAAGCCATCAACGCGCATGCTGAATATGCAGAGAACGTCTTCCTGAAGCTTAAGCGGGCCTACATGAAGAAGTCACAGGACGCCGAGGTACGTATACACCGTCTCTTCTGCCCCTACGGTACACATGTAGACTTCGAAGCTAGGAGTTCAAGAACGCCGCAGCAAACGGACCGCCACTGTCCCCTCCAATCCTCCATGAACACAACCCTTTGGCGATGCCAAAGCCTGAGAAGAGCTCAGGCAAGCCTGCCGTCACCGCTCCTCAACCTTTGCGACCAGTGGACCGCCGACCGTCGATGCACCAGACTGGACCGGCGCGGACTCGATCACCATCTACTTCTACCGCGCTTCAGGATCTGGCACATCAAGGTAAGGTATATGCGCCTAGATCTCGCCGACCTTCGCTGAATGCTGTGCAGGCAAACGGCAACTAAACCAATTAATCACGTTCCTGGATAAGTCTGGGAACGCGAAGGAAGGGAACCGTGCCGACAACGCGCTGCGGACTGTGCGTGCAAAGAGGGATGCGGATGACGCTGGTACGTCATGCCAAGCGTCTCTTATGGCTGCTTCCTCACTTTGAAGCTAGACAAGGAGTACCGAAAAGGTGTTCACTGGTTGGAGACCTTGAGGCTCCGTAGGGTGAAAATGTTAGAAGGCGGATACAATGTTAGTGTTCTTATCCTTCGCTTCTGGATTCTCGCTGAAATTTACCACAGAGCTTAGAAGCCTTTGTACGTGAGCTATCTGAGACTATGAAACAGGTTTTGCAGACATTCTCAGACAGCGCAATGTGCGTATCCCGTTCAATGCCTGCATATCATCTTAGAGCTCATGACTTCTCTAGCGCGACTTGCATGACGCAAGCTCAGATGTGCAACCATGTACAGTCATACGTGGCCAAGATTGACTCTGAGAAGGACACTTCTCTGATCACCGTGCAAATCCCGCGTCTCGTCGCACTGGCTGCTCCTAAGCCTCTGTACTACGATAACTTTGCGGTTGGAGAGTGCCGAGATTTAATCTTTGGCACCAGTCTAGTCGACTATGCGACATCCAAAGCTCTTGCCGACGGCGAGATGCCGAAGATCATGCGAGTATGCATAGAGGAGATCGAGAGCCGGGGACTGGATGCTGAGGGCATATATCGAGTAAGCTCGGCACTAGCCACGCCCTACCGGTCGTATTGACGCGTCTGTGACAGGTGTCTGGCAGACATGCCACGGTGCAGGAGGTAAGCTGGGGATAGAGATATCATGGACGGGGGTGCTGATCGCGCGAGCAGCTTCAACATAAGATTGAGCGGGACGAGGATGCCTTCCGCTTCAATCCTGCCGTGGATGACGTTTATGCCGCTTCTTCCCTCCTAAAGGTGAGTCCCGTTCGCGCCGCTTGACGAGGATAGTTCATTGATATAACGTCAACAAGCTTTACCTCCGGGAGCTGCCGGAACCAGTCTTCAAGTTCCCGCTACAGGAGCGCATGCAGCATACCGAGGAGATTGGTAAGCATATCCTACTGCAGCCGTTGTGGACACGTCTGATACGCCCGGTCAGATGGGCATATATCCAACAACTTCCGCGTATTGCGCTCCAAGATACGACGACTACCTCCCGTTCACCAGGCTACGCTGAAGGCCATTCTTGACCATCTCGCAAAGGTCGCGTCACACAGCGAGAAGAATAAGATGGATGCCAAGAATCTTGCGATCGTCTTTGGGTCTGTCATCTTCGGTGAGGATGATATGCCGAAGGGAGGGGATCTACTTAATGTTCAGTCATGGAAGGTCCGTTATGGCTTAATAACACTTTCAGGCAACACCATTAACGACGATTTAAAGGACACACTTATGGAGGATCTGATTACTCACGCCCATGTGTTGTTCCAGTCAAGCAATTCATCGCCGCCGCTGCCGCCAGCACCTTCAGGGGGGCCTGTGCCGGCAATATCGTATGGGTCGTCTCATACCAAGGTCTCTGAAATGCCCCCTCCGCCTCTACCTCAGCCACAAGATCCGTCAACGGAAAAGCAAGCCGACGACCCGTTTACGCGGCCGCCGCAACTTATCTCTGCGCGCGGATCCCTCGACCGGCCCTCATTTGAACGTCCAATGCGACGGCCAGAAGATTTCACTCCTCAGCTGCCCTTACGTCCAGCGAACAGCATACACCCGTCGTTACGCGCAGGACCTCAGGGCGCGTCAGTAAGGCAGTCGCTCCCGTCTGCACCAAGGATCGCCCAGTGGTTCGACGACAGTTTCTCCGTCGACAACGCCGTCCCGCGTGTGCAAGGGCCTCCGTCAGTCCCGCCGTCACCATCAAAGCGCCCGCAAAGGGCCACTCCTGCGCCACTGGTCCTGCTGAAGTCGCCGTGGTCCGACAGCCAGCCGTCGCTGGCCTCGACGGCGCTGACAAACGTGTCTTCGACGCTGCTTGACGACGAGTCGGTGCACAGGCAGGACGCGAACGTCATATCGCTGAACGACGTGCCGTCCTCTGCGCCCTCGGCTGGCCTGGGCTTCTCGACGGGGATATCGCCGGCGCCTTCGATATCCTCCGCTGGACGGCGAACGCCAGCGACTCCGCCCCCGTCTGTGAAACCGCTCAGCCTCGGTGGCTCGCCCAGTGGCGGGTCGCTCTCGAGGAGGAGCTCGCAGCGGCATCGCAAAGATGGTCGCACGTCATCGGAATAGCCATAAGGCTCTTCCGGTCTTCTAGGATTCAGACACGCCTCTGGCTTTGAACTCATACCCGGAGCCATGTATTACTAGTCGGACTCTCTCGCACATAAACCTGGATTTAGAACCATTTTTTCTCCATTCGCTCACGCGTTGCCTCACGATGTTGTTGGGTATATAGTAGTGTCGTGCAATTATGTGTCCGTGTATTTGTTTGGATGTTTGTCAGCCCTCTCTATTTCGTACTATTACTTACATAAAGGTCGGTGTAGTTGCACTCTTCTGTTTGGTTGGTTGTTGTACCGCGGTGTATTTTTCTGTAGTACTAGTCTTTGTGTTGTTGTTTACCCCACCTACCGCTCGTCGCGTCATATGTTCACAACGGACTTGGTGCTTTGTCAAGCACCCGTTCTGAGATCACTTGTTCACATTCTTTTTCCTGTGAGCTGTATTGTTCCACTTGTGCTGCGTCCGACTCATGGCCAAACAAAAAGTCAGCCTTCGCAGCATGGCTGGCCATGTTCGCCGTCGACATTGGTGTGGCACTACATTTCGTCCTATCTCTACTGTGCAAGATCCATTTATCGTTCATGACTTCGAACTATGCCATATGGCAAATTTAAAAGAAGAGATCTAGTGTCTTGTGGACGCTATCAGCGAGTACACACACAAGGCGTGCACTTGGGATACTGCCAAGGAACACCAGACTCCAGAGCCTCTAAGTATGCTGTCAAGATCGATCACGGTAGCACCACGTTACAAGTCTCGGCGCAAGGTGGGCCGGCGGGCTAGTTTGTCTAACGAGGCAAAGTTGAGTCCATGGGATATTCAGTATCTAATGAGCTAACCAGAGCGAGTGGTCTTTGTCTGTGCATAATCGGCCGCCATGGCGTACAGCTTCTCCTTGTCTCCCGAAGCATCTACCAGGGATCTGAAGAAGCCGTCGGAATTTTGAAGTAGCTCGGTTGGAGGAGCAAATTCGATCTACAGAGCATAAGAAGGAAGTCAGCCTCGGATACATCAAGACTTACAATGTGACCAGCATCAAGGACCATCTAGAGACGCCAAGGTAAGAATACACATTGAGCGAAGAGAGATGAGAGGCGTACAATATTATCCGAGTCCATGATAGTCTGCAATCGGTGTGCAATGGTGAGCAGTGTGACGCCCTTCGCAATCTCTTTCCTCAACGACTCCTGGATGATAGCGTCCGTGTCGTAATCTATTCACACAAGTGAATAATCTGCATATACTCAATGTTGAATGACGAACCGATAGCAGACGTCGCCTCATCTAGAATGAGTAACCTGCTCTGTCGCACTACGGCACGGCCGAGCGCAATGATCTGGCGCTGCCCGACAGACAGATTGCTTCCGCCGCTCGAGATGACACTGTCCAATGTCAGACGGTCTTCGCCAGCTTCTTCCTGCAGCGAGAAGAGGCCAGCAGAACGCAGGGCTTCGTTCAGAGTCGCATCGTCGTGCTGCGAGAAAGGATCCAGGTTCTCGCGGAGACTACCTGCCAAGAGTTCGGGCTGGGAATGACATATGAGCGGGAGGGCAGCAGGTAGGGACACTAAATGATGTACATACCACCTGTGGAATGACGGTGATATTCGCACGAAGCGCATCGAGATTGATGGAGTCAGTAGGCATGCCGTCGAAGTAGACTCTTCCCTC